CCCCCCCGGCCAGGGCTGAGCCCGGGGGGGGTGGGCTCGTGGCCTTCTCCGTGAATCCCGGGGCGCCCCCTTCGGGGAGCCTGGGGCCCGCCCCCAGCCAGGGCCCGCGGGCACCCCAAGACTCAGCGCCTCGGGCGGGGCAGAGACACCGACCCTGCCCCCGCAGAGTGAAGGGCCAGGCGGGGACCCAGCGGTGGGAGTGAGGGACCCGCGCCGGCCTGCTCGGGGCGGAGCGGCTCGTCCCACCCAGCCCGAAGGGGGTGACTTGCTGTGAGGAAGCTCGGGGGTAGCCCCGTTAGTCTGGACAGAAAACAGCAACCCGTGGTCGGGGAGCGCTTTATAGACTAGCAGCGTGTAGACGGGGTCGTGAGCTTTCGTGGGCGCCGCCCACTTCTTCAGGGGACCGGAGTTTTGAGTTTAGGATGTGCAGACCCAAAATAAATAGAAGGGGGGAGGAATAAAGGCCGGGGGTGGGAGACAGGGAGCGAGAGGGAATCAGTAAGGTATCTGAAGATTGATTCGTACCTGCTTTGTTTTAGCTACCCATCTCCAGGTGCTTACTGATTCCCTCTAGCTCCCAGTATCCCCCATCCCCCTCCTATTTATTTTAGGTCTGCACATCCTAAACCCAAAACTCTGATCATCTGAAGAAGTGGGCGGTGCCTACGAAAGCTCATAATCCTATCTACACATTTTGTTAGTCTATAAAGTGCTACCAGACCACTTTTTTTTTTACTGTAAGGAAAGAGCCATTCCATGTCTCTCTTGAGACCTATCTTTGAAGGTGTCAAGTTTGCATATGCATTCTGCCTTGATTTTTTGTTTTTTTGCCTAAAAATGGCAACTTTGCAAGTCAGTAACTGGGGCTATGTCTATGCTGCTGAGAACAGCCAGAAAAAGATATGCAAATTGCAAAGTGTAATTTGCGTATCTTTTTTCACTTTTTTCCTGAAATTTGGCCCATCTACACGCGGTCAAATTTAGGGAAAAAACTTCTCTTTCGGAACATCCCTTATTCCTCTCACTGAAAGGAATACAGAGATGCCAAAAGAACACGTCCGCTTTTTCAGAAACTATTCTCAAAAAGCGGACGTGTTCCGTACACACAACAGAACTTTTCCAGAATACTGGTATCCCGGTAAGCTTTGTAGTCTAGACATAGCCTGAGTGTCCACGAAAAACAAGGAGTCTTGTGACACCTTAAAGACTAATAGATTAGGGATCTCTCAATATTTCAGGTGCCAGGACTCCTCATGGTTTTTACAAATTAACATGGCTGCCCCTCTGAGACCTGTGTGTCCAGGGTTGGGATGTGAACGGGTAATGTTTAACTGTTACTCAAGAGCAGCCTGCCACAGGTGGAGGCCTGTTCCAGCCCATCAGGGTTGCTAGTTTCCAGACTGCATGGACTGGGTGTCAGCAGGCTTGTGGGGGGCAGAAGCGGGAGTTGGGGGACATGCTGGCTGGCAGTCCACACACACACACACACCTCTCTGCCCCACACAAGGCTGCTGTCTCCCAGCCTGAAGCACCCAAGCTAGTGCCCTACTCCAGCCCAGCTGTGGTGGGTGAAGGGGGGGGAGACTCCAGCCCAGCAGCCTGCCCCCCCCCCCGCCCCCCCCCACCAAACTCATCACTGCTTAATTGGGATTTGTTGCAGGGATTGGTTTGTGGGTTAGTGTTTCTGTTGTGAGGTGTGAAGTTAGTGGTGGTGAATATTTGTTTCGGATTGCGGGGCTGTCTGTCAGCAAGGACTGCTTACCTCCCAAAGTCTCTGAGAACGAGAGATCGTCTTATAGGAGGGACTGTGGATCACTGATGATGTGTAGGAAAGCTTTTAGCTAGGGGCTGAAGGTAATCGCTAGTGGCATTCTCTTCCTTTGTTACGTCTGTCCTGTAGTAGGTGACTTCTGGGTACCTGCCTGGCTCTGTTCATCTATTTCTTCACAGTGTGGGTGATAATGCTGCCGATAAGACACAGCAACGGTTATGCTTTAGGATTCCCAAGCTGTCAATGTGAAAACTCATCAGTATCTTCAGTTCTTAATGCTGCTTTTGGAAGGCAGCAGTGATGTTGACAGTCTTATCACTCTGTGCTGCAATCTGTGAAAGCTATGAGTACACTAAACACTGGAGCTAGTCACAGGGGGAAGGTTCTGGGAACAGCTTCAGCAGAACTGTCAGCGTTTTCACTTTCCTTGCCCTCGGGGTAGATTAGGGCCTAAGTTCTCTCTAAGGTGCGTGTCTGTGCAGCTTCCCATTAAGCCCCATGCAGGAACTATTAAGCCCTCAGGACTGCAACAAGGAGAGATGCTTCTTCCTAAGCCCCGAAACACAGGGCCCCCCTTTCCAGGGCCCACAGCAGTGGTCTGTGTGCAGAATAACTTTTGTTACATGATACATCACCTCCTATAGTGGTGCACAAAGTCATTTTGTAGATGGACATAAGAAAATTAGGCAGAACATTCATTGGAGCCTCCATTTTTCATAGTAGTCTGTGACTGCTATTTTTAATTCTTTGCGTGTGTATGTGGGGTAGTGTGAGAAGGAGAGATTGAAGGGACATGTTAGAGTATGGTTCAGAGTTATTGGGGGGGGTGTCAGAGAGAACGTAATAGAGAACTCAGTATAGGGAGAGAGGAGATTGAGGATGTGAATCTGCAATGGAGAGGTGCTGTGTGAAGGGAGGTCACTGAGTTTTTCCTGCCATATCATTTCCTTTTGGGGCTCTTGAATGAAGAGGCAAACGCTGTGATACTAAACATCCAGTTTTTAATGCTTATCGAAAGCCTTGTTTTTCAGATCACTGTAGAGAGAGACCGACTCCAGATTAGGGTTTCTCTGTGATGAAGATGTTTGTATGTGTTACAACCTTCAGGCTACTTCATTCCCAGAGTTTTCACTGGTAAATTAATTGTGCAGCTGAGAACCCCTCAAAATAGCTTGCTGTTTACTGTTTAAAATTACTACTCCAGGGCAGTTTCAAAATAAGATGCAAATGTTAACAGTGAGGATAACTAATCATAGGGCCAACTTTCCTACTAACATGGTGGATTCTCCATCACTTGAAGTCTTTAAATCAAGATCTGATGCCTTTCTGAAAGGTAAGTAATAGCTCAAGGGAAGTGATGGGTGTGATGCAGAAATGATTGGGTGAAGTTCTTTGGTTTCTCTCATACAGGAGATCAGACTAGATAGGCCTAATGGTCTCCTCCAGCCTTGATTTGTGTGACTCGGTGAGCAGCCTCTTGCTCTCCAGAATCAGCTGTAGTTGGTAGGGCTTTGCAGTTACCTTGAGTGACAGCTCCCTCCCACATTCTCATGGGGTGGTTCAAAGCTATGCGCGGTTTCAGGTGGAGTCTCCATGATTTGAGGAGGCTTCCAAGTAGCATAGTTTCAAAAGACTTCTTCAGTGCCAGAATGCGAGTGGCATGCTGGATTGTTCTTATACATAGTCCTTATTTTAATAAGATCAGGCGCAAGTCAGTGAAATAGCTGGTACAGTGCAGAAGTTCTTGACCCCTAGAGAAAAGGGTTAAACTCTTGTGAAAAGTTGAATTACTGCTTTCTGTTCCCCACCGATGCCTTGTTGTTTTGCTATGTGCTGGCATTGGAGAGTAGACTGAGCTAAGAATATCAGCAAATTTTAGTGGTGTTTGTGGCAAAACTAATTTTTTTTAATTTGTTTCTTGCCTATTGCTGGGTGTGAGATGAGAGGGCCTTTTGGCAAGGCCTGTGTCATCCTTCCTTATGTGTTCAGTTATTTTCCTTCCTTCTCCGCATGAGAATTCCAGATCTAATTCCCCCCACTGAGTAACCTTCATCTTCCCTCATAAATTAGCTTGTGTTTCCTTTGTGCAGAAGCTGTTGACTACAGGAAGATCAGAAGTTATTGGTTCGTCAGTGTCATCCACTCCTGAGGGGTTACTATCAGGTTAGGAATGTATTCTATAATAAGGTCTCACAACTGAAAGGTTTTTAAAATCGGTTACATTTGGTGGTGTTTGAGTGTTGTCACATGCTCTTTAGGATAGTGTTGTAAAGACAGTCTTGGGCACAAAGAGCTTGAATGAATTGATTTTTGGGACCCTCTGTTCTTGCTTCAGTCTGTCTATTGTGCATTTTGCTGCTTTTCCTTCTGTCATGGTAACCAAAGCTGGCTGTTGAGCCGCAGACTGACAGACGGAGGAGCAGGAGTGAATTGAGACGCCTTCTATGTCTCCTAGTATTGTGTTGCATGATTCCTGCTTCAAAGTAGCTAGTAATATTAATGGTCCTTGGGGCATTCTCTGCCAAACATTTAAAAATTCTGCGCCCAATATTTTAAAATTCTGCAAATGTTATTTGTCAAAGTAACTATACGATCATTCCAATTCAATTATATGTGTAAGTTATTTCAAAATACCTGTCAGCAAGTATGCCTGTAACACACACACACACACACACACACACTCTCTCTCTCTCTCTCTCCCCCTCCCCCCTCCCTCCTCTCTCCCACCCCAGGAGCAGAGTGTTAAAGAAACTCCTATGAAAACTCTGTTCCTGTTTCAGTGCTCCATCCCTTCCCCTGCTTCCCCTCCCGCAACCCTGTTTCCGGGGGCTTCCCTCCCTTGCCCAAACACCTGTCCCCTCTCTCCCTCTGGATCCCTGGGCTCTGGGGGGAACAGTCTGGTGCTAGATCACAGGCATGCATGTAGTTTCCTGCACACTGTCTTCTTTCCCTTAGGGCAGGGATGGGGAAACTTTTTTGGGCTGGGGGCCACTGACCCACAGAAAAATCAGGAGGGGAGGGACACACAAGTGAGAAACTTAATTAAAAAAAGCCCCAAACCCTCACTGACATGACCCCTGACTGAGAAGGAGAAAGTCACTCTCCATATTCCCCTCACACTCCATAACCTAGTGGGGCCTAGGCTAGTAGATTGTGTGCCCCAGTCCCTCAGTAGGCGCAGGGTCCCCAGTGCTAGGAGGGGAGCCTTAGGGTCTTCTCTTACTCAGAAAGGGGATCTTCTTTTGATCCTGCTTGTTAAAAATCACATCTCTGAGCTATTCTAAGTGCCAGGCTTAGGCTTGCAGTCTCTAAAGCAACTTATCAAGTGTAGCACTTCTTGCAAATATCTCAGCAAAACACCAGTCTCCATTAGAGGTAACTGTTTGTCCCCCAAGGCAGTGCTGCTCTTTTAATCACCTGCTTCGCTGTTGTGGAGCAGATGTGCATCACTGGATGCTTTGTCGGAATTCTATTTAGATGGTAAGCTCATTGGTCAGGAATAGTTTGTCCTCTCCGTTGGGTATAGTTGTCACTAGACAAAAATCATATTTCCCAAAGTCCTTCACCTTGAGATTTGGAAGATTTTTACATGTACATTTTTAGGTAACTTTTGGAAGAGTTTGGACATAGAATTCCGAGTAAAGGAAAACCAGTTGGTTAAAAATAGTTCTAAAGCTGGAAGGCAGCCGTGAAATATAATTTATGCCCACCTGGATACATGGTTAATCTGACTTCATTGGGAGTTAACTAGGATTCTCCCTTCATGGAATAGGCTCGCAGCATGACTGATGACCGAGAATATGGAAGAGCTCTTTGTAAGCTAGGGATGTTAAAATGTGATTTTGTTCGTTTGTTTGTAAACGTGAAACTGGTGAAATTTTTTTCAGCGGTTACATGTTTACATGCGGGGGGGTGGGGGGGCAGACGGGAGCCAGCTTTTAAGCAAGCTCCCTGTGAGCACTAGCTCCTGCCTTTCCCCTCTGTATCAGAGGCGGGGGTAGAGGAAGGAGAGATGGGAGCCAATGCGGGTGAGGAGCTAGCTGCTTCACCACACCCCCCTCCCCCCCCCACGCTGCTGCTTCAGTGGGAGGCAGCTCTGTGGGAGCCACCTTCCCACCTGCACTGGCTCCCACCTTCCTCCACCTCTGAAACAGAGGCAGCAGGGGGGATGCGTGTAACCATGAGAGTTGACTGATGAGCTCAGGTGCATCGGTTAACTGTGTACATGGTACACGCCCACATCCCTTGTGTAAGCTTGAACACGTGTCTCTTGCCAGCAGAATCTGGTTCCGTAGAGATTACTCCCCCACCTTGTGTCTCTAACATGCTGGGACCAGCAGGACACTGCCTGTGCCACGGCTGAGGACAGTCCCTATGACACGCTTTTGATAAGTTGGCCGGAGAGAGGAGATTTTAAATTGCTGCTGAGTAAACGCCACTCTTGTCCTTGCAGGGAAAATGCTGCGACGTGTGAAAGGACTGATCTGCCAGGGGCCCAAGGTGAGTCCTGCATTGGCTCTGAAGTGTCCTCTGTCCTGGGATGATTATTTGGCACTGTAAAGGATCCAGAATGGGCTTGGCGGCAGGCCCACCTGGCCCCAGTGGGAGGCAAAACAAGGCTAGGGGCCATTTACGGGTCCTGCTCTAGGCCAGTGTTTCTCAACCAGTGGTACAAGTAGGGGAATGTGAGAGAAGTCTGGGGGGTACGTCAACACGTGACATTTGGCAAAAAGTGTCCGGGATTTTGCCCAGTGCTGGTGGGGAAAAGCACGTGGCTGCGGCAAGACCCAGGGAAGTTGCAAGTTGGGGGGCAGGTTTGGGCAGGTAGATTTTTTTTTTAAAAAAAGCCACTTTCATGGCCACCTCTCCCAGTTAATTTCCTCTCGGGCAGCCTCCCCGGGGTGCTCCAGCGGGGACCTGGAGATGCGCATCACCCGAGCCCCGCCAGCAGCTCAGTACAACACATCCCCATTGCCCCTTTCCCATGGCGCTGCGAGAGGAGCTAAAAGGCGGTGAAGCAGCACAATAAGCTTAGCTCCAAAGGACTGCCCCCCCTTTCCCCCGCATCAGTGGTGTAGCAAAGGGGGAGCAGTTACCTCCCAGGTGCCATGATAGGGAGGGGCCAGGCTGGGGTGGGAGTGCACAGCCCCATGTGGCAAGCCCGGCACTGGCGAGCCACTTGCTCCCTGCAGACAAGCCACCAAGGCAGAGCTGGGTGGCAGGAGCAGGCTCTTCAAAGGTAGGGTTAGCATATGTCCAGTTTTTCCCGAACATGTCCTTGTCTTCCCATGTTAAATTGCCGTCCAGCCAGCTTTTTTAAAACACAAAAAATGTCTGGGATTTGGGGAGGGGGTGGCAGCACTTGCCTTCAAGGAAGAGTTCAACCATCTTTTGGAGCCGGGCGTGCCCCTATCCTTGGGACTACCATGGAAATAGCATCATGGGGTCCTCTTAATGACCTTTTGCTTTCTAGGGAGCCCTTTCTGCTCTGGGTTTTGTCCATGAGGGCCAATTAAATTGGTTCTGTGGCCCCTTTAGGGCAAACAGCAGCAGACTTGTAAGGGCCTTTGGCTTCAAAAAAGATTTAACTCTGAGTGACTCGCATGTCAGCATAGTCATGCAACTTCTCCAGCTCTTGTGGCCTTGACATCTCCATTGTCCATGACAGATGAAGCTGTGTTCCCCAGTCAGTCAGAAAACCTGCAACCCTCAAGGGCCAGAAAGCAGGCTCCCCACTTCTGAATGCAAATGGCTCCTACCTGCCGCTCAGCTGGTCTGCTCTCAAGCAGTAAAGTCTTTTGTGCTTCGATGGGTCTAATGGTAGCATTTTTACCTCCTTAAAAGCCAGAGTTGGATTGAAACATAGGCAGGTTAGACACGCTCCAAGGCCCCCCATCTCTTGGAGCCTTGGTACATAAGACTCTAGCCTGTTTGAAAAGAGGTCAGGGCTTCTCCACGCGCAGTTTTTGTACCAACTGAACTGTTTGAAACCAGTACTGTTAAAGAAATAGCTTCGTACCAACGGTACTCATCCATAACAACTGGTCATGCAGCTTTTAACCCTTGGTAAAAAGTAGTATCCCTAGCCCAAATGCATAGTTTGGTGCCACACCAGACTATGTACAGTAGGCAGGTAAAGTGCCACTTATAACGTTAACTAGGGTTAAACCCTGTTTAACTGGTTAACCATATAGCAGCCCCCTGCCCGCAATGCAGTGGCTCCAGCGGGGCTGAAGCATCCCCCTGCCCATGGTGCAATGCAGGAAGGATGCTGCTCCAGCCCAGCCGGGCCTGCTGCGTTGTGGGCTGCTCCGGCCAGGCCCGCCTCTGGCCAGGGTGGGCCCGTTGCAGGCCACTGTAGCCCCATTGGTTACCAGTGAGCATCACCCGCTAGCCGGTTACCATTTTAGATCCCTAATACATAGCTCAATGAAAAGAGACTGGGCCGAAGTTTCTAGCCTTTGTGGCAAAGAAAAACTTGAATATGTGAACCAGATAAAACCAAGACAGCAATATCTTCCAGAATCCAAACAGCATGAGAAAATGCGGTATGAACCGTTCCATGCATCTCAGGTGCTAACTCCGAGACCCACTGCTGGGTGGGTCATGCCAGTGCCACCTGTAAAGGGTCCTCAGTGGGTGGGGCGCTGCTGACTCCCTAGCATACCCACAAATCCATGAGGCACGCCTGGGCCTCGCCATTGGCCGAGGGACAGTTTGAGGCCCAGCCATGGGTCAGGGTGGGCAGGCAGACAAGGGGTTAACACAGATAGTTAGTAGTTCACAATTTAAGGCGCAGCCCTGGGTCAGGGCAACAAATGTCTATTAACGATGGCTAAAGCTCCGTCTGGGTCCCAGCCGGGCAGGGGATCAGGTCTCCTCACTCCAGGAGAGCTGACAAGAGCAGGGGTTTTTGCCCCACGGGGGGAACCTGTCACCGAAAGGGAGGTGTCGTGGGGGAGGGGGGAGCGCGGGCCCTCCCTACTCCCTGTATCCTGGCCCAGGGCCCTGATAGTGGCGGCCTTGCGGCCACTAGGTCAGCAAAGATCCAGGCCGTTACATGCCAACGAGGTCGAGGGTCAGCGGAGGTCCAGGCCGCAACGCACTGCCCACCCGACCTTCCTGTCCTCCACCGCCCCGAGGCTGGTTATCCCTGGGCCGCTTTCCAACCCCGCCGCAGGCCTACCAGGCTCTGGCAATGTTCCAGTGGGTCCTAGGGCGACGGAGCGGCTGGCAGGGTGTCCATGGGCTCTGTTTCAGGCAGGGTTCCAGGTGGGCTGGCCCAGTCATCAGTGCGCGGCGAGAGTTTTGGTGGGGTCGGCCTGGGTTCAGGTGGCGGCCGGTGTCTCAGCAGGTCAGGCCTCCAGGGTTGGCAGGGTCCAGGTGGGCCAACCCAGTCCTCTAGCCATAGGCAGCGTGGCCCAGGGCTTCGCTGGAGGAGCCCAGGCTCGGCGCAGCGTGGCCAAGGCCTTCGCTGGAGGAGCCAGGTCTCGGCTCAGCTCTGCTGCCTGGCTCTGACTGAACCCGTGGCTCTTATAGTCCCAGACCTGCCCTCTGGCTTCCTGTGGGCAGGGCTAGGTGTGGCTGGACCCGCCCTCCAAGGGGTCATAAAGGGCGCTTCCTCCTCCCAGTCAATGGGCGGCCATATTGTTGTCCCAGGCTCATTACACCATCTCCAAAGATGATTCTGCCTAGCAGAAGGAGCATGCTGTGGGCCCACGTCCCCCACCCAGGCAGATACACCCCAGCTGCTGGAGCTCCTCCGTCCTGCTACCTCTGCTTTTCTGGGAAGTGAGGAGGGGACTTAGTGCCTCTCCTTGGGGGGAGGAGGGGCCCCTGCCAGAGCCTTGCCTATTTATGGATAGAGACCAGAGTCTGCCTGCCTGCCTGCCTGCACTAAGAATGCTCCATTCCATCACTAGCTAAAAGATTGAACCTGCACATGCAGCATGTGTGTCAGTAGAGTCCGGGATACAAAAAGCGAGCAGGATTTGGAGACCTAATGCACTGCCTCCGAATGCAAGAGTCACGGCTTTGTGAACCCCGTGCTAATGTATTCGCTTTGCCCATCTGGGGTGAGTCATAAATAGCGAAGCAAGTCTTCTTGTTGTTTGTGCTACTGTTTAAATCAAGGTGTCCTCTTTTGAGCTGACTTCTGAATGTCCTTTGGTCCAGGACTGTAGCGTCCCTGTGCTGCAGCGGTTGAGTGTACAAACGCTTTGCTCCCAGAGATAAGATTCCTGCCATGCAGTTGCCGTATTTATCATCAAGCCCGGCAGACAACATAGGGACTTGCTTTTATGGTGATTGATTGAAGTGCATGGCCAGTGAGGTGCAGGGATTCATGTAGAAACAGCTCCACCTTATGGCCTTTGGTGTCTTGGTGAATCCCTGGTTAGCGTGTGATAGGCTCCATTGAAGAGGTTAGATTACTGTCTTTTGGCAGGCGGCAGTGTAATAGCCTGTCACTTGCTATAATGTGTCCAGATTGCAGTTGAACAGCTCGTTCGCTTTACATACCTGGTTTTCAAAATCAAATGAACTCCTACGAGGAACTAAAGAGGCGCATGCACAAGTACGCCACACGAATCCCTTTATAAGCCTTGAAGGTAAAGTTGTAAGCTACCTTCTTCCTCCCCCTTCCCTCACCACTATAAAGGGCCGAGCTGTGCCCTGTGATTTAGAAACTCAGCACGTGATGGTCTAGGTGTCAACTTTGTGGGTAAAAAGTTAAAACCAAGCTTTAAAACTCCCTCAATGATAACTGGTATTTTTCTCAGACCCTCTTCCTGGTTCATTCGCTCTCCATGACATGAGCATCTGTCCCTTCCAAGTAAGGATGTTAAAATGCGGTTAATTCACTAGTCGATGGAATTTTCGCAGATCAGCTGTGCAGCGGCTGCTCCTTTAAAATGCCGCTTCTGGCATTTCAAAGGGGCAGCTGCCGTGGAGCCCAAGTTAGCTGGGGACTCCCGGGTGATTTTGGGCTCTGTGCAGCAACAGAACCCGGAGTCAGCTGGGGACTCCCCCACTGGCACCAGGTTCTGCGGAAATGTCGCACAGAGCCCGGGATCAACTGGGCAGTCTCCCGCTGACTCTGGGCTCCATTGCTGCCTCTTTGAAATGCCACTTTGAAGTACCCTTTGCCCCCCCCTTTGCCGCCTTGGTCTCAGAGGTGGGGGGAGGGGTAGTCAAGTAGTCAAAAGACTATCTGATAAGCAAATGCTTATCAGATAGTCGACTAGTCATTAACATCCCTACTTCCAAGGACTGAGTGACATTTGTTGCCCCCACACAGGAGCATTATTACACGTAGAGGAAAAAGGAACCCTTGGGAGCCGAATGCCTAGCGAGTTACTGATGATCTCGGTTTGCCAGCTGCTTCTGAACATGAGACTGAAAAAGCTTATTTTCAGGTGCAGCAAGACGGCAGTTGGGAGACTTGATTTTGTGGATGTTGAATTGTTGTGGAATATTGGGAATGTTTTAATTGAACTGCTTACGTGGCTTGCAAACCCAAATTGACCAGTGAACCTCAGAAAATACAGAGGGATGTTCACGTGGCCAGGTATCTTGAAAGCTGCGATTGAGACGGTGCAGAAAGGAATCCCCCAAGGGAAACTGCCAAAGCTGTGTGACACAGGAGGAATGCTTCACAGGTGACTCTGAGAAATACCTTCTGCTCACTCCCACCTTTTGGATCATCTGTCCCGGGACACAGAGACTGGTCTTTACTCTGGGTAGATCCAAACGTCATCCAGGCTGGGAGAGTTTGCTTTGGGCAAAGCAGAATGGGCAGTGCTGCTCTCAAAGCTGTGTGCGAATGACTCCAAATCCCCGGGGCGGGTTTTTCTGTCTGATGATGTTTCCTGGAAGGGCTGTGGGAGCAGGCGTTGGGAGGAGTGGGATGGGGAGCAGGAAGTCTGGCGGAAGCTCTTGGTTATCCTGGCGTGCGGGCTTCCATTCAAGCGGTGGTGGGTGTAGGGGAGGGGAAAACTGGGGGGCTTTGGGGCAGGGGCCCAATAGCAGACAGACCCGTTGGTGGGGGAGCGCTGGGCTGAGAGAAGCTTGGTGGAAAGGGGCTGGCGAGTGGCAGGCAGTGGGAAGTGGTTTGTTTCCTCCGTCTCTTCAGAGGTGTGGGTCCAATCTGTCCTCACACGGTCCCTCCTGGGGACTTGGCTGCCATCATTTCTGTATCAACTAACTGTTCATTTCTGTGACCCAGGCCGAGATTTGAACTCGGGACATGGAAGGTTAACCGGACCTTGCCCAACCCTGGGTGGCTGGCCCAGGCCGGAGCAGCCCTGCTTGTGGTGGGCCACCCCGCCGGGGGGGGCCCCGCCACAGGGGGG